GAGAAGAAGAAAGAAAGTGAAGGAAGGGGAAGAAGACAGCGAGGGTGACGAAGGTGAAGGTGCCGGCAGCCATAGCCGAGGTGAGGGGTTGACCGGGCATTGACCAGAGGGTTGACCAAGGGTTGACCAGAGGGTTGACTAGGCGTTGACCAAGGTGGTTAACCAAGCGTTGACTCGGGGTTGTCCGCGTTGACTCAGCGTTGACCAAGGCGTTGACCGGAGCTGCTGACCAAGATTTTGACCAAGCTGGAGTTGGTGATATCTCGCTGAGCCCTTAGCCTATCCCCTTACCCTGTGGATGTGCACCTACCCCACGGTACTTGCTGAGTCTGTCTGTGTACTCTTTCTGCATTGAGTCTCTTCTGTCCTAGGTGCTAGGCCTCTAGGGATGAAGGATAGGGCCTTGCTGCCAAACCTGCACGGGACTTAGTAGGACTAATCTCTACTCTGGCATCTGGAGACCTGGGCATGAGCGGCGAGCGCTCGTTAAACAACTCGTCTAGCCCAATGACCGGTACTGTCCGGCAGGTCTACTGAGTTCAGTGTAGAGGGTCTGAACTCCGCGCTGTGGGCTGAAACGAAGGCCGTCTTTAAGTCTTGAGGCCTGGTTGAACCACTCCCCCTACCGGACCTAGTAAGGCTGATGATCTGTGTCTGACGACTCGACTGTCCCGAGGGATACGAACCCCTCCAAGGACCGGTACAGACCGGCGGGCTGCTCGGTGTGGCACAGTAGGCCGGAACGGCTGAGTTGTGGGCTGAAATCGCCAGGAAGAACCAAGCTGATCACGTCGTCCTGTCTGCGACGTTAAATAATTCTTGAGGAGTTACGGGGGATCTCCTTACATGCCTCCAAATCAGCTTTTGGTTCAGTAGTGACAGCTTTAGAGTAGTCTTGGGTTAGTGACCATAGTTGACAGGGTCTTATCGTGTGGTCCTTAGGAAGTCAGTCAGTAGGTTTGTGTCCGGGTAGGTCCAAGTGGTGAGGAGTGGGACCTTTGTCGTGCACCTGACACCACCATGGTAGACACCCGGGGCGGCACCTCCACTACGCCATACACGAAGGAGGAGGAAGAGAAGATGGCCGCCATCCTGCAGGAGAGAAAAGAGAAGAAGGAGGCCAAGAAGAAGGTCCTACAGGAGGAGCGGGCGGCCAAGCTGAAGAAGCTAGAGGAAGAGATGGCCAGAGAGAAGGAGAGAATAAAGAAAGAAGAAGAGGAGAAGCTGAAAGAGGTGGAAGAGGAAGAAGATGAGGGACCGCCACTAGAAAGAAGGCGAGGGCCCCACATTGGCAACAGGGATGATGAGATGGACAAACGAATTTCAGAGTGGGTTGCTAACTTGTCCTTGGGAGAGGAGGAAGAAGTGACTATGTATATCCCCAAAGATGACCAGGAAGCCGCCCTGACGAAATGGGAAGCAGAAAAGGATGTGCTAAAGCGACAGGCGATGGAGGATGAACAGAGGATGGAGTGGAAACTCGCGATGATGAGAGAGAAGAAGAGAAGGGTGGAGGCGGCGGGTGAGGCGGTCAAGGAATTAGAAGAAGTGCAGAAACTAAGCCTAAAGTTGACCCCTCAGGTAGACCTCAAACGAAAGGTAGAAATCCTTGCCCAGAGCGTCGAGCGGTTAGCAAAGATACAAGAGCAGCAGTACGAATTTAGCCGAAGCCAGGACATAGATGTACGCTCGATGCGAATGGGATTCCGGGACTTTGCGCGCGAACTGATAGGAGCCCTAGGAGCCGAGGTGAATCATCGCCTCGAGAAGACAAAGCGTTTTTGCGTCGGCGCCATTGAAGGCGTCAAAGTGGCAGCTCCCAAGGAGGAGGAACCACGCCCGCCGCGTAGAGAGCCAGTCAAGGTCAAATTCCCTAATTCCTATAGTGGGAAAAGGGAAGAGAATTTTGACAATTGGGAAGCCAACGTTAAGACCTATGTGCATCTGCAACAGGTCTCCCCAGATCAGCATGTCCTGATCGCGATCCACGCGCTTAAAAATGAGGCCGCCAGTTTTGCAAGGTCCCTAGTGCGCGCCACTAACTGCAATGATGATCCAGTTTCCTATTCGTCATTTACCTCCCTCACTGAGTTTATGAGATTGCTGCGCGAGCGATTTGCAGATGTCGCTCGAAGTGTCAAGGCCTCAGATAGGCTCCAGACAATCCACGCTCGTAAGTGGAAGAATGCCAGGGCACTCAAGAGCACGATGGACGAACTAATCGCTGTTCCTGACCATGGGGTCACAGACACCCAATTGGTCGGCCTCTTCTACCGGGCTATCCCCGAAGCCTTGCGAGGGCACTTCTTCGCGAAGAGCGAAGATCCGGCCACAACTTATGATTCTCTTAGTCGTGAGGTGGTGGCCTTTGAAGCCAAGTCTGCATCTTTGTCTACCTTCTGGCACAAAGACTTGGACAAGGGAAAACAATGGAAAGGCCGCACTATCTCAGGGCAGGTGAAGACTAAGGATAGCCTTGTCCTAACTCTAGATGAGGGTAGTGTGGATGAGGTCCCCTACGACCAGATTGACTGGGGGTTAGAGGAGGATGACAGCGGTGTGGGTCAGGGGAGAACTTACGCTGCTGTCGCGGCCGGAGGGAGGCCGCAAGGAGGAGGACGAGGCCAGGGCCAAGGGGGCCGGGCCTCAGGGAACCGGTTTCAGGGCGATCAGGGGGTTGGCAGTAGAGGAGGAAACTGCCAAGCGGGAGGCAGGGGTCAAGGTCCCCCGCAAAACCGTCCTAGAAACAGGTCTCCCTATAGGGTAGGCGGATGGCACCCAGGGCTACCTCAGGGTAGGCCTTGGGAATCTTTGGGTCTGGACCAGACTTTATGGCAACAACGATTGGACCGGGGCCAGTGCATTTTTTGCGGTGACCCGGGCCATATCGTTAAATACTGTCCTAAGTATCGCGAGACCCGAACGACTGCCCAAGGGCCAAAAGGCAGCCGCCGGTAGGGGTAGCAACTGCCCCTACCATTAGGCCATGTGGGGAACATAGCGCTAGCCGGCAGGAGACTCCCACACCACATGTGCCTATGGCAGAGGTTGCAGGCCGGTGTCTAGATAGCTGCCCAGAGACCGCTTGTATTAGGGTCTCTCTAGACACCTCCCTCACAGGCGTGGCCGAAGAGTTGAAGGAGAGGAGGCCCGCCTGGGCCAAGATGAAGAAAGAAAATAAAGGGCAGCTGATTTTACTAGATATAGAGATTTTTAGAGCTAGAGTAGGGGCCCTAAAAGACTCAGGGGCCACCCGCAGCTATATTAGTAGGAAAGCGCTGCAGAAGTTGAGGCTGGGACTTAAAGTTCAGAAATTGACAGACCCCATAGTTAGTATCCTCGCAGACAATCGTACCATGGTTGTAGAGGATTACGTAGAGGGAGTCCAGGCGTATTTCCGCCTAGAGAAAGATGGGAAAGTGGAGAAGGTCCTCCACTCCCTGACTCTCCTCGTAGAAGACAGCCTCCCATTTGACATTGTCCTGGGAATGGAGAGATAGTCGCTTTACCAGCCAGAACTGGCAAGAACTCATGGGAGTATATGGATCTAAGTTGTTGATGTCGTCAGGCCGTCAT